GCCCTTAACCATACGAGTGGCCTTTCTCTGGACCCTCTCCAGGTTATCCGCATCGCTCTTGAATTGCGGCGCCCAGAATTGCACGCAGTATTCCAACTGCAGTCTGACCAGCACCCGACAGAGGGGAAGTATCACCTCCTTGGACCTATTCGTCATGCATCTGCTGATGCACGATAAAGTGCCATTGGCTTTTCTGATGGCTTTGTCACACTGCTGACTCATGTTCATCTTGCAGTCCACTAGGACTCCAAGATCCCTTTCCACTTCCGTGCCACCCAGCAGGTCATTCCCTAGGCTGTAGGTGTGCCGGACATTTTTCCTCCCTAGGTGCAGCACTTTGCATTTCTCCTTTTTGAACTGCATTCTGTTGTTTTCTGCCCACTTGTCTAACCTGTCCAGGTCTGCTTGCAGCTGTTCCCTGCCCTCCGGTGTGTCCACTTCTCCCCATAGCTTTGTGTCATCTGCAAACTTGGACAGAGTACATTTCACTCCCTCGTCCAAGTCGCTGATGAAGACATTAAAGAGTATCGGTCCAAGGACTGAGCCCTGCGGGACCCCACTGCCCACACCCTTCCAGGTCGAAGCCGACCCATCCACCACGACTCTCTGGGTGTGACCCTCCAGCCAATTTGCCACCCACCGGACTGTGTAGTCATCCAAGTCACAGCCTCTTAACTTGTTCACCAGTATGGGGTGGGATACCGTATGGAAGGCCTCTTACCCATCTAAACATTAGTTAAAACAGAGTAGACACCACAAGATCTTATACCTTAAGCCAGTGCACAGGCCAAATATTTTTCTTATCTCTGAAGTAGTAGAGATCAGGACACACAATACTTGCAGTTGATGACTTCAGTATATATTGAGTATAGGAAAATTTCTTATTGTAACACAAACCATTAGCAGTTTTGAAAACGTTTATATTTAAATATATTTTGTTGCAGCTTGTTACATTCCTACAATGAAAATAAAGTAGCTAGATTAGTTGTAATATATTTCAACTTTATATTCTTTTCTTCTAGATAGCTAGCTCTCCTTGGTAACTTCGAAGGAAGCTCTGAAATCAGACTGGAAAACTGGGAATGTAGCTCCATCCAGAAACAAAACCATTCCTTTTTGTTACATGAGAGCCCTGAAACAAGAATAATCCCTCCACTGGCATTTTCCTAACAGTCATGTCCGTAATACATTCCTAGACCAACTAAAACAGAAAGGATGTGGTCATGTATGATATGGCACAAAACGTTACTTGTGCTTATGAAAAAATTAAGAGACATATCCTGAGGTGCAGCTCATCTGCTCAGAAGACAAATCAGTGTGTGTGAACACACACAATGGCAGCATGGAACTTAAACCATATTAAATCTGTAGAATGTTAAGCAGTCTTAAAGTTAGAACATGCTTTGAGCACTTCCATGTTCAGGGTCAATACTGTTTCTTACCTTCACGGATGACTTGCCACTAGAGTGCTCGTGAGCAGGGCATGGCCAAGAGCCAGGACACCTGGGCTCTAGCCCTGTTCTGGGTGGGAGGAGGAGATGGGGAAGGGAGGCTGGGAGCAGTGCATCCTTGGATACTGGAGGGCTGCATATTGTTCATCTTATCTCTGTGGAACAGCCTGAAGTTACCCTAACACAAGCTAAGTAGCACAGCCCATAGTTAAATCTCCCCTGAAGTGGTCCTCTGAGCACCTCAAAGTTGCACACTTGGCATGAGTTAATGAGCTTGAATGTGCCCTTAGTATGGTCCCCCCGGGGCAGGTGCAGACAGGGCGAACCCCAGCCCACTGCCACTACCACTTTTGCTATTCCCAGCTGAGCCCACCCCCCCAAACAGCTTGGCTAGAGCAGGTAGGAGAGGCTTTGAAGCTTCCCCCTGCCCCTGGAACAGCAGGGAAAACAGCAGCAAGCAGGGGAGGAGGAGAAGAGGAAGGCAGGGGCATGGAGAGGAAGGTGGCGAGGGATTCTTACATGCTTTGGGGACTTTAAAAAAAGCCCCAGAGCCTCCGGCAGCATGGAATGCCCTCGCTGATGGATTGGGAGAGGAGGCGGGGGGGGAGTGCAGTCACCCCTGCAGCATGAGTGACTGCTCCTGCACCCATCTTTGCCAAATCCTGGATCCATCCCTGGTAGATATATGAATATATATGGACTTACATAGATCTCTGACGAACTGAGCTTCAGCTCATGAAAGCATGTGCTATATATGCACATACATACTTTGGTTAGTTTATAAGGAGCAAAGCTACCCTGCTTTCTACTTTACTTCAGACTAACACAGCTGATATGTCTCTCTACATCATTTTGAAGAATGTCAGCATAGGCATAAGTCTGTAATTCTGGGATGGAGTCCCCTCCCACCCATCCACCCCACCATCAAAAAAACCAACACAGACAGATCCATCTTCAGCTGGAATTGTTTTTCATGGTGCCGCTGAAGTGAATGAATGTATATTTTTATAAACTATCTGTCAGTAGGCCCCTATTGTACTGATTCCCTGTTAGATTTATTCCGACCAAAATCTCACATCATAGCTGAGGTATATTGAAAATTATTCCTCTGAAAGTTTTTTCAGTGAAGAATGCTTTTTCATTTAACATCTTTCCAATGTTAGTTATGATTTTTTACTAAATGATTCAAAACAAAAGTGTATCAACTCCCCCCCACCACCAAATGCTTTAATTTCATCGGATTCATTTGAAATAATTTTATAAAAATAGAAAAAGTTAATATTTTGTAAATAAGTTCAAACTAAACCAAATGTTTTCCTTTATTTCAAAAGTTTCCATAACCAATACTTACCATTTTCCAACCAGCCTTAATTCTGTTGTATTGCCCCTTAAGATAAATATAACAAGCTACAGCCCCATCAAAATCAACTCTGCTAAAGTATAACATACACATGGTATATAATATACTCTATAAAAGTGCTTGTGAAGGGAAAACTACAAAGTAACTCTATATTACTATCAGAAAATATTTTAATTATTTTTTAGCTAATTTCTACAACTGTAGAAAACTAAAGAACCAAAACAAATTAAAACAATTCCTTACTCTACAATACATTCATAGGATCCAGTGTCTTCTAAAGTTGCAGGCATAAACCAAAGGACGTTCTCTTTCTGATGTACTCTGGAATGTTTATTTTTAGTTATAGGCATTTTTTCTCCACTTCTGTACCAAGTCAGGTTCTTTTTCACCTGTTGAAGATTCAATACATTACCCAATAAACAATCAGTAGCGAGAGGCTGCCCTGTCGGTACAAATATTGAACTTTGATTATGCCGTTCACTCAGGTCATATATTTGGCACTCCTCTAAAAAACAGAGACAAAAAAACAAGTGAGTATGAAGCTAGGGAGGCAAACTCTACTTTTTAAACAGGTTTTCAGCATCATTTTTCAGGATGAACAATTCCAGCTATGCACGCACAAAACAAAAGGTGCACTATAATGACACTAAACAACTTTTGGGGGAATTTTAAGCACAGGATTCACAGTTTGCATAACAATCTAAAATCCTATCCTGACATCTATTTTATACACAGGTATTAAATTAATTTCATTAAAAGACATCACCTTCCATATCACAGCCCAAAATTGTTTCAGCAACTACTGTATGTACCCAAATCTAAGACAACTTTGAATTTAAGATGAACCTCCATAAATACATTCTATATATGGAAAATTATGTTATAATTTTGTTGTAATTTTCCATGTATAGAATCTAATTACCTTAAATTTAAGAGAAATAAAAGATCAAAGAGTAAAACAGCTTTGTAATGCGAATATTGGAATGCCCTAAATAGAGTTCTTCTTAGCACCACTCTGTGGCCTGTCTGAGATGCTTAATGCACAGTAGACTAAATCTACTGAGTATTACAGCATCACATTAAAAACCATGCTAATGCGCTAATATGCAGTAGAATTAGTCTACTGCACATTATGCATCACAAAAAGACCATGCACTGTTGCTACTGCACATCAGCGCAGGCTACTGTGCATTTATGTAGTACCTCATATTACAGGTATTAAACTTAATGCACTGTAGCAACAGCACATTAATGCACATGTAGACATGCTTGTACCACTTAAATCAGTAAACAAATTACCATATTTACTCGAATCCATGATGGGATTTTCCCCCCACATTTCTCATGGGGAAAAGACTTGTCGCCTTATATTTGAGTACGATGCAGTATGGGGGCAGGCAGCTGGCGAGGCTCCAGCCTCAGCTCACAGCCAGACATTTGTGGCGTAGAGTAAAAATTCAGGTGACGTTCGGGTAAAAATTCAGAACCAAGTTACTTTTACATGTATGCATAAAAAACAAACCGACAAACACTGGTCAACCTACCTGTCTTGACTAAAAAGAGAAAAACTAGGCTTATACTGCAGGTAAACAAATCTGTGTCCATTATGTTGTACTACAAAGGAGAGAAAAGAAAAGATTTTCAGCAACATCTTTCTAGATCATCTTTCATTTCAACATATAACCAAAAAATGACAAGAATCCAAATTAAAACTTAAAATTATCTCTGTTCTCATCTAAAAAGAAATATAAAGGTACTTTATAGTGTCATAAAATGTAGGGCTGAAAGGGACCACAGGAAACCATCTAGCCCCCTGCTCAAGACAAGATTATTCCTGATTAAACCATCCCAGTCAAGTACCCAGTCAACAACTATAGAGGAGTATAATAGTATTGCCTTAGTATGCAGATATGAAATCAAGAAGGCCAAAGCACAACTGGAGTCACAGCTAGTAAGGGACATGAAGGATAACAAGAAGGGTTTCTACAAGTAAGTCAGCAACAAGAGAAAGATCAGGGAAAGTATGGGTCCCTTACTGAATGAGGGCAGCAACCTAATGACAGATGATACAGAAAAGGCTGAAGTACTCAATGTTTTTTTCACTTCTGTCTTCACAGGCAAGGTCAGCTCCCAGACTACTGCACCTGGCAGCACAGTTTGGAGAGGAGGTGAGCAGCCCCCAGTGGCAAAATAATAGGCTAGGAACTATTTAGAAAAGCTGGAAATGTACAAGTCCATGCAGCCAGATGGAATGCACCTAAGGGGGGCTGATGTGATTGAGAGCCACTGGTTATCATCTTTGAAAGTTCGTGGCAGTCAGGAGAGTTGCCAGATGCCTGGAAAAGGGCAAATAAAGTTCTCATCTTTAAGAAAGGGAAGAAGGAGGAAGATCCAGGGAACTACAGATCAGTCAGCCTCAACTCAGTCCCTGGAAAAATCATGGAGCAGATCCTCAAGGAATCCATTTCAAAGCACTTGGAGGAGAAGGTGGTGATTAGGAACAGTCAGCATGGGCTCATCAAGGTCAAGTCATGCCTGACTAAACTGCTTACCTTCTATAACGAGATGACTGGCTCTGTGGACGTGGGACGAGCAGTGGACATGATATACCTTGACTTTAACAAGGCTTTTGTTGTGGGAGACAGTATCATTCTCACAAACAAACTAAGGAAGTACAGGCTGGATGAATGGACTGTAAGGTGGACAGAAAACTGGCTGGATCATTGGGTTCAAAGGGTAATAATCAATGGCTTGATGTCTAGCTGGCAGTCAGTATGAAGTGGATTGCCCCAGGTGTTGGTCTTGGGGCCAGTTTTGTTCAATATCCTCATCAGTGGCTTGGAAGATGGGCACAAGCTGATTGAAGATTGCTTCAGACTAGATGCAGGTAAAAACTTCTTTACAAGTCAAGTACCAAGGTTTTGGAACAGGCTCCCCCCAGAGGTGGTACAGTCACCCACCCTGGCAATCTTCAAAAAGCATCTTGATGCCCATCTTGCTGAGGTCATCTGACCCTGGGTAGTCTTTCCTGCCCAAGTGCAAGGAGCTAGACCCAATGATCTGTAAGGTCCCTTCCAGCCCCTAAAAACTATGAGACCATAGAGTGCACCCTCAGCAAGCTTGCAGATGACACCAAGCTGGGGGGAGTAGTAAATATGGGGGAGGGGAGAGCTAGGATTCAGAGAGACCTAGACAAATGGGAGGATTGGACCAAACCAAATCTCAGAGAGTTCACTAAGGACAAGTGCAAAGTCCTGCACTAAGGATGGAATAATCCCATGTGCCAATAGAGACTGGGGACCAACTGGCTAAGAAGCAGCTCTGCAGAAAAGGACCTGAGGGTTACAGTGAACAAGAAGCTGAATATGAGCCAACAGTGTGCCCTTGTTATGAACAAGACTATCAGCATACTGGGCTACATTAGTAGGAGTACTGCCAGCAGATGGAAGGAAGTGTTTCTTTCCATCTATTTGGCACTGATGAGGCCACATCTGGAGTACTGTGTCCAGTTTTGGGCACCCCACTACAGAAAGGATATGGACAAATTGGAGAAAGTCCAGCAGAAGGCAACAGAAATAGCTAGGGTGCTGGGGCACATGATGTATGAGAAGTGGCTGAGGGAACTGGGCTTATTTATTCTGGAGACGAGAAGACTGAGAGGGGATTTAATAGCAGCCTTCAACTACCTGAAGTGGGGTTTGAAAGAGAATGGAGCTAGATGGTTTGCAGTGGTGGCAGATGACAGAACAAGGAGCAATTAGTCTTAAGTTGCAGCTATAAAAATGTAGGTTAGATAGTAGGAAAACCTTTCACACGAGGAGGTTAGTAAAGCACTGGAACAGGATACCCAGAGAGGTGGTGGAATCTCTATCCTTGGAGTTTTTTGGATCTGGCTAGACAAAGCCTAGGCTGGTATAATCTAGTTGGGGAGTGCAGGGGGTGGGGATCCTGCTTTGAGCAGAGGGTTGAATTAGATGGCCTCCTGAGGACCCTTCCAACACTTACTTTCTATGATTGTGTACTTGTTTAACCTGCCCTTAAAAATTTCCAGCATAGACATCCCACAGTCTCTCTGAATAGCCTGTTCAAATGTTTATCCACCCATTAACCAATCAATGCTCCTTGTCCTGTCCCCTGCAACCACAGTGAATAGACTGCCTCCATCCTCTTTATAAATGCTCCTCAGGTATTTAAATACTGTTATCAAATCCCCCATCAGTCTTTTCTTCTGCAGCCCACACAACCCTAGTCCTTTCAGCATGACTCATAAATCATGCTTCCCAGACCTCTATTTAATACTTTTGTTGCTCTCTGCTGGAATCTTACTGATTTCTCCACATCCTTCTTGAAATGCTCCAGGTGAAGCCTCAACAGTGCAGAAGAGAGCAGGAGAATCATTTCCTTGATTTGGAAGTGACACTCCTGTTAATACTGCCTATTTTGCTGTTGGCCTTTTTTTGTAATAAGAGTACACTGTTGGAAGATATTCAACTTCTGACACTTTATAACCCCAGGTCCCTTTTTGAAGTAGTGCAGCCTTGCCATACATTCCCCAGTCTATTTGTACAAGAGATTTTTCCATCCTAAATGCAGGACTTTATGCTTGCCCTTACTGAATTTCATTTGATTGATTTTGGACAATTTCCACGGTTTAATCAAGATCATTCTGAATCCTAGCCCTACACTCCAGAGCGTCTGCAAATCCACCCAATTTGGAGACATCTGCAAATTTGCTAATTGTACACTCAATCCAACACCCGGCCCAGGACAGACCCTTAAGGAACCCCCCTTCACACCTTCTCCAAAGCAGACATTGAACAATTGATGACTGTTCGTTAAGTGTGATGATCCAAACCATTATGTATCCACCTTGCAGTACTTTAATCTGACTTGTATTTCTTTAGCTTTCTAATGAGAACATCAGGGAAGATGGATCAAAAGTCCTGCTAAAGTCAAGATGCATCACATCCACTGCTGTCCACGTAGCCTGGCACTCTGCTGAGAAGGAAATCAAGTTAATCAGACATGACTTGCTTTTGCAATTTGATCTTGCACTTACATTTTAGCTGCTCCTGAGCACATTGTTCTCCTCCAGGTGTTTAGAAATACACTCCTTGATGGCTTGATCCATAATCTTTCCAGGTCAGACTAACTGGTCTGTAATTCCTCAGACTCTCATTCTTCCCTTTCTTAAAGATGGACACTGTATTTGCCCCTTTTTCAGTCATCTGGGACCCCACTCAACCCTCCATAGGTTCTCAAAGATGATAGCCAACAATTCTGAAATTTCTTTAGCCAATTCCTTCACTACTCTAGGACATATTCCATCCAGCCTAGACAACCTGAAATGACCAGTTTCTCCAGAAATGAAACCAGGATTTTACAAAGCGGATACTGGAGCAGCAACTGATGCGACAGGGGTGGCTACATCCCCCGCTCTGAGCCTCCTCCCAAGGATAGACAGGCTGGGCCACAAAAGCATGAGTCAGGGACTTTTTTAGTCCCCAGCCCAGGTAAGAATTCCCTCCTTTCCCTTCCCTGCTCAGAGGCATGTCCCCTTCCACTCTTGCTGTTGCCCTGGGCTGAGCTCAGCCCCCACACAGGCCAGCTGGAGCAGCTCTGAGCTTACCTCACCCCCAGACAGCAGCAGCAGTGGAAGGTGTTCTACTGAATAAATAGTCATCTGTAGACTGGAACTTGGCAATTATTCTGTAGCAACAACACAGCAGCAGGTTTTATGGGATTTTGTTTGTTTACTTGTTTTTAAGAAAAATTAAGAATGACTTCTATGGAAACTACAAGAGAAGTTGACAGGTTGCAAAACACCAAGTTAAAATCTGAACAGGATAAAAGTTAACTACCTAATTCCTTGTGTTAGTCTATTAATAATAATTTCTCTCACACATCAAAATGTTGAATTTTTTTTGGAAATTTTCTGATTAGTTCTATTAGCTTTAAAATTAATCTATTTTAGCTACCAAATACATAATAAAATTAGTATAGGTAGACTTTATGCAAAACCTTACCGAAAGAAAGGATTTTTGTGGATTCCTACATGGAGTTCACTGAAGCCAGATCAGGGCCTCAACATCTAAAAGCCTTACCTAGGACACGGTGTCTGTGCTGTACAAGCTGGGAAAGGCAATAGATTCTGCCTCTGAGCGGAAGGGAGAGCAACTTCTGTTGGACAAGTTTCACAGACATGCTTACTGGTCTATGTTGCAGTATCTGATCTAGTTCTAGATCGGCTTTTATTGACCACCCATACACATAAAAAAAATCATACGCAACACAGCTTTGCTTGACCACCCAATGGTCCCCAAAATGAGCCTTTAAAACCAGAATTCCTATTCCCTGCCTCTTCCACCTAGACCCAGTTTGACAATCTGTTTTCTAAACACTTACCCCTGCACCACTTCGTGTTTACTTCCATCTTACCAGGTTAGTTTCACAACAGGATTCTTTGAAAAGAAAACTGCAGCAAAAGCCACAAATCCTTCCCTGTAAATCTCCTACAGTCAGTTCATCCAAGTTCCTGAAACATACACATTCATTTCTCTAGACCTGCCCTGCCTACTTTTGGACTCTACAGAAGTAGGTGCAAGCTGAGGAAGAATATCTAGATCCTGTCCTAGGCTCCCCCATCTCCTAGAAACTGCAACACCAGGCACAACATCTAAAAATACTCCTTCTAGCACATGCATCCATTTCACTGGCGCTTTCTCTGTCTCCCTTGTATAACTCTCAAAAGCCAGTTTGTCTATTTCTGTTCCACCTTCTAACCATGACTCATGACCATGACTGAAAGTTGAACCGCCACTTCCCACTATTTGATTTTTATTAAAAAACAAACTTATAATTTCTAACAAACACATTCTGATTTTGCTACACAGGAATAATTAGACACTTTGAGCGTACAAAAGGAATAGCTGAAATGGTCATTCCTGCCCTTGTTCACAGTTGCAAATGTGACATAAATATTGTCTAAGAATTCTTCTTCCTGTTTGGCCAATTTCTCTGACTTTTCACCTGAATTGTTACCTAGAATAGCAAAAATTCTTATTGGAAGTGTCAATCACTCCTAAAATATTAGAATACTACACAGCATTTATTCCAACATACCTACAAGTTTCAACAGAGAATATTAATAGCACTTTTTAAAGAAAGATAATGAATGCATGGCCTGAGAAATAAAACAAACTAAAAACTATGTGGAATGTGTTATGTTTAAAGGAACAATAGAAAGGAAATATCGTACTTTTCATTTTAATGACTGACTGGGTACCAGCAAATTTAATTTTGGTTATTTTTCTGGCTTTATACGGGATTGTGTTTAGCATAAAATATGTACATTTATTTTATAAGCAAATCCAATAAGGATCAAAGTAAAGCAGATAAATCAAATAAAAAAATCTCACCTCTTTAGCTCCTGCACCATTGATCAGAGTATCTAAATGAGCTAGATCCCAATAAATCCTTCCAAGTGGCACTTAAGATGCTTGCAAAGAAAAAGGAGTACATGCTGGGAGCCTGTTAAAAGGGGTTTTTTTCATTTGTCTGCAACAAATAACCACCATTGTTTAAAGTCTGTGACTGCATATAGCTTCTTACAGAAAAGACATGAATTGCAATTTGGTGTCATTTTCTTTGCTATTTTAAAGTACAATTCCCCACACCGCACTTAACGTGGATTACGTGGATTAACGTGGATTAACTCGAGACATGATACCTGTGTTAAATGTTTCTAAACATCAGAGTAAAACAAAACACTAGGCATTTTGATTGTGTGGTCTGTTTGAGAAAAGGCTGCTGCTGTTTTTCTTATCTAGAGCCTTTGGAATAAAGAAGTCTCAGGGGCTCCATAAAAGAAAAAGGGTTATTTCCATTCACCTTCACTTCTGGTTTAAAAAGCAGTTGGACAAAGCTGAAGACAGGAGTCCAGCATACTTAGGAATTACCTTCTCCCATAAAATAGGGGCATTTCTACCTTTGTCTCCTCTGCACTAAGAATTTCTCTCTCATAGGTGTTAATGGAATAGGGGTAGAAAGACATAAATATGTGGCCCTATTTGAATGCTAAAGTCTGTGCTGCCTTCCTCCTTGTCACACGTACCGGCCTCAATCGCAAAAATAAACTTTGACTGCTTTTTCTTTCCTGCCGATTGTACTGTTTCATGTCCTTCAGATGAGCTTAAGCAAGGCAGGTTTCGGTGATATATTTTACTGATCCAGCGAAGTCCAACCTCTCTCCCAACCATCTCCTAAGAGATCACCAAGAAAGCCTCTTACTTTTCACAAATTGCCTGGCCCACTGGGGCTACAACAGCACTTCAACTCCTTATGATTTAATGCCCCGGGACGGTTTCACCTGCCTGGCCCCACTGAGGACAACCAGCCACGCAGGTATTGCTAGCAACGGTGGGGCGGGAGGGGGAAAACCCCACTTGGAGCTGACAGTCTTGAGAGTTGCAGGTAGGCCAGCTCACCTGTCAGTTCACCAGGGACAAGGCAGAAATCAGTGGCAGCTGGGGCTGAGGTGAGGGACCCCTGCACCTTCCAGACAGAGCCAGAGCTCGACTGACTTCAGCAGCAGCAGCTCTGCCCACCCCCGAGCAGAAAGGGAGCCACAGGGGAGGGGAAAACAGGGGGACGGCAGCAGCAGGAGCCGGCTGCCGGGCAGCTCCCAGACCAAGAGGCGCTTACCTGAGGCAGGACGCAGCTGGGACCGCGCTGGATGCGGAGGGCGGTCTAACCGCAGAGGAGCCACAGCCCTGCCTCTACCTCAGCCGGCAGCACAGCACGCCCCGCCCCGCCCCCAGCGCCTGCGGCCAGCGGGGGGGAAGGGGCAAGGTAGGGCAGAGACAGACTGCGTCCCGCATTGCCGCCCGTCTCTCACTTACACAGTGTGCGCGCGCAGACACGCGTCCCTTCCAACCTCAGTGGCTGAGAGTCTATTGCGGCCAAATGGCATCTGATATACATAGAATGTGCATATTATTGTAGAACACACAGATCTGTCTGGATACATAATCACACACGAGAGAGAGAGATGCGCATGCGCGCGCACACATACTATATGTATATTAGACACCACTCGGCTCCAATATATTTTGGCTCCAATATGTGTGCGTGTTGGTAACACATTGGGTTCAGGTGTGGCAGTGGCTGTGCTGCAGTGCGCGCGCATACGCGCGCACACGCACACAAACAGAGGGGATAGATATTCAATCACACACACACACACACACACACACACACACACAGAGCATCTAATATATATTGGAGTCAAGTGGAGTCTAATATATATATAATATTATATGTGTGTGTGTACATGTGTGCATGTGCACACATATGCTCCTATCTTTTTATGTGTATATATGGTGTGTGGGTGTGTGTATTTTAGATGCCACTGCTCACTTAATACAAGTGTTGCAGCAGATGGAAGGAAGTTATTATTCCCCTCTATTCAACGCTGATGAGCCCATATCTTAAGTAGTGTTTCCAGTTTCTCTCCTCCCCCACCCCCTTACTACAGAAAGGATGTGGAGAAATTAGAGAGAGTCCAGCAGAGGGCAATGAAAATGATGAAGGGGCTGGGGCACACGTGCACGCACACTATGTGTATATTAGATGCCATTTGGCTCCAAAAGAATCATAGAATCACAGCCAATGAGGGTGGGACGGGACCTCAGGAAGTCACCCAGTCCAACCCCCTGCTCAAAGCAGGATGGTCCCCAAGTAGATCATCCCAGCCCAAACTTTGTCTATCCAGCTCTTAAAAACCTCCAAGGATAGAGAGTCCACCATCTCTCTAAGTAGCCTGTTCCTCCTTGTGAGAAACTTCTTCCTAATGTCTAACCTAAACCTCCCTGACTGCAGTTTGAGACCGTTGCCCCCTGTTCTGTCATCTACCACCACTGACAACGGGCAGGCGAAGTCCGGCACATGAGCCGGATCAGGCCTGCAGTAGACTCCATTTCCAAGTGGTGGCAGGGAGGTATTTCTCAGTGGTGGCAGATAATCATTTCCCAGCAGCCCCCACCCATGCCATGGCAATGCCAGCCCCCACACTGCCCTAACAGTGTGGGGCCAGGGTTTCCATGGAGACCCCCAGCCACACTGACAGGGCATACAGCTGGGTGGGCAGCTGCTCTGAGGCTGGGATCTTGCAGCGGTGGCAGTGTGGTCCAGAGCTGGGGCAGAGCTCTGATCTACTGCCTGCACACCCCGGGTTGTGGCTCTGCCCTAGCACAGTACTCTAGATGCGGGCTCACCAGTATCAAATAGAGGGGAAGAATAACTTCCCACCATCTGCTGGCAACACTCCTTCTAATGCAGCCCAGGATGCCATCTTACAGCAAGAGCACACTGTTGACCCATATTCAGTTTCTTGTCCACTGTAACCTCCAGGTCCTTTTCTGCAGAGTTGCTGCCCAGCCAGTCAGTGCCCAGCCTGTACCGGAGCTTGGGACTGTTCGGTCCTCAGTGCAGGCCTTTGCACTTGTCCTTACATCATCACATTGTGGGACAGGTACTCTGCAGCTGGTCTCCATTTATGGCATCACTGACTGATGAGCTCCATAATATGTTTAACACATCACAGGCCCTCGCATGTACACAGGCTGGACCTTGTTCCAAACCAGACCAGCCTCCAGGCAGTGATTCCTACAAGCCCTCCAGAAGAGAAAGGCAGCGACTCCTTATATGCTTGGGACCCCTCCAACAAGATGCTTGAAACTGGACAAAGAAGCCACTCCTGGAGGACGTAGAGGGTTCCTACCGCAGGACAGCAACCAAAGCTGGCGCTGTTACACTGGCCCATCCACAGAAAAAAAGAAGCTAGGAAAACCACTGAGGCCCCGACCACACATTACATATATTGCGCAATTCCCAGGACAGCCATGCAATATATTGAGAACAGCCACATATGCAAAGTAATTGTCATGCAATAAAAATGACTACCCAGATATAGAGAGTGCTAGCCAGCTATAAAGTTACTGCTCAAAAAGGTGTAACAATTCTATAACTGGTTTCTATCCCATTTTCATTTGAACGTGTAGCAGGATAAAAATTCGTAAAAGAAGCTAAAGAAGGCACTCTGGAACCAAAAGAAGAGGAGTTCTCTTCAGCAGGGAGGATTTGGGATTCAGGCCACAATCTTTTCAGGCCTTAGGGCTAGAGCTCCCAGGAGAAACTGAGCCCCATCTGCCACTGTGGCAAGATGGCTTGGAAAGTAAGGCAGCTTTAGCCATTAATAATGCAAATGCCCTAGGAATAAGAAGTGCTGTAAGGTGAAGGCACTGGAATTCGAGTAGGAGGCAACGAAAGGAACGGCAAAACAGAATGTATCAGCCAGACACAAGAGCAGTAAATAGAAGAGATGCTGCATTGCTTCCACTACTTAAATGCAACTCCCATCACACTGAGGGGCTCCCATACTGCACTGCTGTGAATTCTCCTATCCCTAGCTTATATCAATGCAAATCCTCTATTACAAAACCTAACGTAAGAGTAGACCAGCAATCCTACATTCACATGCACAGCTGTACTGTCACCGGACCATAAGCCGACTTACCTGCAGATGGCTTGTATAAGAATACTGGCTGTCTTTACTAGCACCTGCATCATTGCCCTCTCAAGTGGCATTGCATGGTACTACAGCAATGGTAGGAAAGATCCCCAAAGTTTGGACTATAAAACAAGGCAAAGCACTTTCACAGTTGTACATTTATTACTGGTGCCAGGGAGAATTGTGAGATTCAACCCAGAGCGAGGTTGAGACACCAGTGAAAGACAGGTTTAAAAAAGATCTTCTACTTCAGCATGTATGCCAACTCTCCCTAGATTAACCTAGTTGCATACACAGCAGTAAGTAGAAATTTAAGTTAAAATTCCCATGAGCACCATTCTGCCTTGCCCTTCCCTTTTATAGCTGTGGTATTTCTTCCATACAGATGCAAAGAAAACAAAGCAATGTTTAGGTTGCAAGACTGCACACAAAGTACAATGTAATAGTGAAAGCTCCCAAATCAGTGCTCTCATCTGCTTTTATATTATACATCAGTGACCAAAGTGGCTATTGCCAGAAGTAGATGTTGCCACCAATTTCTACCAACAGGTTCGGTTTCTATGTTTTAGTGAATGCACCACACACACTGAACTCCCCAGCCTGAATGATCAGGTACCCGTTTACAGCTGTGTCAACTGCAGATGGCTTTTGATCTACATCCAGAATAGAGCTTGAACTCAAAAGCCTCAATGAGATGCCTCAAACATAAAATTCAAGAGAAGTGTAGATAATAGGAAAGGACAAAAGATACCACTAATGCACTAATATATACAATACAGTATATGTTCAATTTCAAAAGAAAAAACCCACAAACATCATGTCATCACTCACAATTACTCAAATGAATGAGGAAAATTGTATTAGCCAAAATGAAAAAATAATATTTCATATATACATTAGTCTGCAAAAGAAGCAAGTTTACATATTCAGAAAATTCAGAAAAGACACCAAGGCATTTTCTATAAAACTTGCATCCAAATCATCCACAAAATATAATCAGCAACATCACATCTTTGACACAAGGTATCTCATACTGATTATACTATATCCAGTCTATGAAAATATTTTTTCTAAAAATCCATCGATTACCTAGGCTGAATTAAATACCTTTTAAGTAGTAATTGTAAACAATTTAAAAAGTCAGATTTTGAGTGTCAGAATTTAGTCTTCTGTATTATGAAAATATCTGACCTTCCAAGTGCAACGTCCATTTACAGTACTTAAAAGCGGACCTCAAAAATTCCATAGTGGTAAATTTGATAATTTGAAGTATGTATTTTAAATATAAATTTTAGTCAAATTTCCCACATTTTACCTTTCCATCTCCCTGTTCAACAGATGCAAATAAAATAATGTGGCATTTAGATTTTTACTTTTCAAAAGCCAAAGAGGAAATCCCACCTGCTTTACTTTGGAAATGTGCATGAGTATGTTTGTACAGCTCCATAGATTTTACCTTGTATCACTATCCACACATTAAGGGTCATGTATACCACAATAGTTGAGCAACTGTATTTTGTACAATTTGACTTTATTTTTTAAAGCCAAGGTTAGGGGGACACAGTATAGAATTTTAGAAGCTGAGTTTCATTTTCAAAATGACTGTATATGGCAACTGTTACTAACTAGGCCATGTGTGAATTTTAAAATTGGCCAACTGAGATGTGTCTGTGCAAAAACTTTGCCCAATTTTTAAAGTGCATAAGTACATTAGAACACCCATACCCCTTAGTGCTCCGAGTGCATATTCTACCAATGCTAAAAAATGTTAACTGTTGTGCAATGACCAAGAATGTTTTTAACATTAGACTGAAAAGGAATTTATAATAAAAAAATAGCCTTGTAACCTTGCATCACCTGCTGTTACAAGCACTGATCTAGAGACTAACTAGTTGAAGAGCAAGGGAGTGTGTTAAGAGGGCAAAGCATTCTTTAATAGGCTAACACAATGTTCCTTTCTTGTGTTCTCTCCTTCCTCCCCTAGGAAAATATCACAGTGATGTGAGGAGTACAAAGATTCAAGTTGCACTGGACTAAATGAGACAGTGATTAATAAGTGGCAGCAACTGTAACATTTTATTTCAACCAAAACAACAACTGGCTTCAGGTATTAAAAAGTTTGGATATAAAACAATTTCCTTCATGTGTATCCTTTTTAAAATTTTCCAGAGTGGATGTTCTAAAAATGCAAACAATATTTTCTTCCTTTACAAAAATGTTCTCTTCAAGAAGTCCTGCTGTGCTTATTACAGTCATCACTGCACTATTGATATAATGGTTCAACACGTTCTGCCGATCTGGTCAGAAGAAAGGATAACCAGTCAATCACCATTTTGTATCTTTAGAGGAAGATAATGAGACATCTTCAGTCCTCAAAGCCTCCAAATGAGATGGCCTGTATATAAACACATACACACAAATATCCTTCATTTAAAAACATTAAAATAAGACTGCTAGGAGCCATTGAAATTGAACATTAGTGTCATCTTTCCAATACTGGTGTTTGGGGAGAACTAGAAGTTTTTGGTAACAAATGTTGTTCTGAGAAAGCTATATTTGCTCTGGATGGCATTTGGTATCGTACATTTTTCCAGAATTTTGTATTTGCTGAATGAGATCTCTCAGAAAAGTCTCCTTTCCATCGGATGGCCCCATGTTTTTCCTTAACGTATCTGATGGATTCCGGCATGCTTGCATAGTCCTTTATTTTACTGAGTTCAATCAGAATCACTTTAATTCCATCACGGATAAGAGCATTATACACAGCCAGTTGCTGTTCTGAAGTATCTTCTAACACATTGTAACAAGATGATTCTGGTATTAAAACAATTATAATTCTTCTACTTCGGTGGATTGTTTCATCAACCACGTTGATCACAGCTGTAATCAGAGGAAGAAAAGATTTTCAGCTCCTTCAGAAACATAAAGACTTTGTTATTTTCCTGTTTTGGCTGCTTAAGCATCTAAACAAATGCCTGGCTAGTCTTTATTTATAACTATTGTACCCATGACTATACCCAGCTGATCTTATTTACAAAAATGAAACCTGTTGTTCCACATGCAGTTTTGGCTGAAGCTACCAATTGTCATGACGCATATTGGAACCAGTGTCAGGAACAAGCCAAACATGTAAAACCTAAAATTTCTATGAAAGGAAAACCAAAGCAAAATATTTGGTCTCTAAATTGTGCCTGTCCCCAAGGCACAATTTTAGTTGAATACTCAATTTTGGTAAATGGTTGACAGTAATACATTTCAAAGGAAAGGACCCTCCCCAAGCACACGCTTTTGAGCAAACTCTGCTGCCAGTATTAGAAAGCCCTAGGAATCACAACCAAAACACACCAGCTGATCTATGCCACAGAGATGCACTCCATGGCTGCATCTACAGTCATGCCAAGGAACAGCTGTTTTGTGACACTGACTATGCAAGTAACTCATGACTGCTGCACAATAGCGTCGTCACATTTCCAGCCACACAACGCTACTACGCACTAGTCCCATGACAACATGAATACTCAAGTAGTAAAATAAGTGCTCTGTGCTCCTAAGAAGGTCTTCTGCCAGAGTAGAATAGAAGAGTAAAAAAGAAAAAAAAAAAAACCTCTTTCTATCCCACATGGAGTATCATTCCATTAGGGGTGCACCGATAGAGATTTTGGGGGCCAATACCAATAGCTGATATTTAACTAGGCATACTGGCTGATACCGATCCGATTTCCGATACAGCTGCGTGCAGCTGGTAAGTCTGTTGTTGTGGAAGGGCACATGGAAGGGGACGGAGACAGATCAACGCCCCCTGCAGTGAGGGACGGAGGGAGCAGGTGCTGCTCAGCCAGGGTGAGGTGGGACACAGGGCGGAGCTGAAGCTTGTCAGGTGGGCAAAGGGGGTGGCTTCTGCTGCTGTGCACACTCTGGTTGGGGGAGGCAGTGTGTGGCCTCGAATCAGCATGGAGCAGCCGGGCAGGTGAGCTGCATCTGCAGGCTGGAGCCAGAGCTGCTCCAGGCTCTTCTTGGTGGGGGCTGGGCTTGGGGCAGGTGGCAGCAATGCTGGAAGGGGGGCTGCAACCACCCCAAATTTTGCCATAGCCCCTCACCCAGTGCTGCCACTGCCCGCCCAGCACAGCCCCGGCTCAACCTCTGTCTTCCCTCACATGCCGGGAAGAGCCGGGGCTGCACCAGGCAGGCGGCAGTGGCACTGGGAATGGGGCTACAGTGAAATTTGGGATGGCTGCAGCCCACCTCCCAGCGCTGCCGCTGCCCTCCTCAAGTCCAGTCCCCACCGAGAAGAGCCCAGCACAGCCTCGGCTCTAGCCCACAGCTGCAGCTCGCCTACCTGCCCCACTCTGCACAGATCCGGAAGCACAAGCACCCCCCATGCCTTTCCAGGGTGCACAGTGACGGGAGCTGCCCCCACCCCACACACGACCCTGTGGACAGTCCCCAAGCTGTAGCCTCCAACTCCTGCCCCCACATAGACTAACCTGAATCCAGCTGCCAGGGCTGTTTCCACCACCCTGCCTGGCTGTATGCTGGCCAGATGCATGTGCACACACATATACACGTGGCACCCCCTGCCTCCAATCGCCCTCCCCCGTTCCCCCAGCCCAAAGCAGCTCCTTGCAGGCTGGAACATTGCAAGGGGAAACCCACGCTTTCCAACCGTTTTCTTTTTTTAAGAGGAAAATACGTGTTTTTCTCCTTACACTTGTCTCCTTCAAATGAGAAAATCCACATTAGTTCCGCAACAAATAGAAAACCCATATTTCTGTTGATAACACAGCAGTTCAGACACTGCTGCTTTTGGGAGCCACTTTGATAGGGGGAGCGGAGGAGCAGCGGTGGCAAGCCCAGCCAGGCAACACAGACCACCTGAAGCCCAGAAATGGGAGGAAGGGCACACCTTTGAAGGAGAAGCTAACTGATGAGTCATTAGGCTATCTGCTGTTTTCCTCTTAGGCTATAAGTACTAGTCCCCCCCTCGCCCTTGTTTGCTCCCCCTCTCCTCCTCCTTGGTCCTCCCTCCCTCCCTCCCTCCTGCCTGCCCTGCCACCTTCTGGTTCTTGCAGGGGCACTGCATGGCTTCCCTTCCCTGCCACACTGCTCCCACTTGAGCTAAACAATAACTGGTAAAATAGATTGTTATCACTGGGCTTATTGGTTAAACAATTAATAATTGAATCTTTCACATCCCTAGCTAAATACTTAGTTTCATCAATGGTATATATTTACTAATAAACTTGTAAAATAATATCATGTATCAAGTACATGGCCCCTAATAAAGAGGTGAGATTACGCTGGGATTATAAGGAAAAATCCTTTTTGGGTCACCCCAAACCACACATCACTGGCACTGGGGAACGCTTCTGAAGAAATCTAAGCATGGCACTACCTGACCCAAAGCTTGTTTTCAAGTGCTAGCCTGCCAAGTGATGGCCCCCACGGGTTGTGCGCTAAATGTTGCCATGAATAAGAAACTGCACTTGGGCTGGGATTATGTAGCAAAATCCACTTTGGGTCACCACAAAACATGTCTCTGCCATGGAAGGACTCTCCCTAAAAAGAATAGGCAGAGTCCTACTGGACTCAAAGCTCAATTTTTGAGTCCCAACCTGACAACTGAGATCCCCTCAGGGCTATGTAATGAGTTGCCCTGAATAAGGAGTTTTTTGAAGGGATTATCAGGCATAATACTTTTTGGATCACTCCAAACTACATGTCATCAGCTCCAGCGGACTCTTGTGAAAAAGCCTGAGCCCAGCATTTCCCAACCCCAAACCTGGTTTCCACGTGCCAGCCTGCCAACCAACAGCCCCCAGAACAGTGTGCTATTTACATTGCTAATGATAAGGAGCTGCTTTTAGGCTATGATTATGGGGCAAAATCCATTTTGGATCACCCAAAACATCACCACTGAAGGACTCTCCTGAAGAAGCCTGAGCAGGTCCCTGCTTGAAACTGAAACTCGGGTTTTTGAGTGCCAGCCTGCCAGTTGACACCCACTCCGTAAGGCCTGTATGCTGCTGTTCTGCCAGGCACTGGACAGTAGTAAGAATAGCTGTGTACAAATATAGGGGTTTTACATCAACTTTCAAATTTATCTCCAGCCCCAACCCAGAAATTCAGTAAAGTAAATTTGAACTGGGTTGTTCAGACCCAAAGTCTAAACAAACCTGCCCACTCACAAGCAAATGTTAAATTAAAACAGGTTTATTACAAAAGAAAAGGGGACCAAGGGTACAGCCTAAGCACAACCTTAACTACTGATGTTTAACAGTAGCTCAAAAAAAAAAAAAAAAAAAAAATCAATCACAGTCATAGTTAGCAGCAAAGCAAACTGGGGAGTTGCCACCTAGCTCAGTGACTGCTGGGGGTCTCCTCCACACTGCTGGGGGTCTGTCACTCCTCCATACCTAAATTCAGCTCTTTATTCAGGGCTATGTACATAGCGCACAGACCTGGGGAGCCTGTCAGTTGGCAGGCTGGCATGTGAAAAAAACAATCACCCTTCCAGTCAGGCAGTACTCTGCACAGGATTTTTCAGAAGAATCCCCCAGTGACAGAGATGTGTAGTTTGCGGGGTTTGCACCATAATCCCAGCCCAAACTCATCTCCTTATCCACGGCGCACAGGCCTGTTGGAGCATGAATTGGCAGGCTAGCAAGTGAAAACCGAGCTTCAGGTCAGGCAGGGGCCTGCCCAGTCTTCTTCAGTCTCCCAGTGGTAGAGACATGTTTTGGGGTGACCCAAAAAGGATTTTGCCCCCAAATCTCATCCCAAATACAGCTCCATATTCAGGACAATGTACATGGCGCACAGTCCTGGGGGGCTGTCAACAGGTCAGCAGCTACTCAAGATATGTGCTTCTGGTCCAGCAGTGCCTTGCCCAGACGTGTTCACAAAAGTCCTCCTCGTGGCGGAGATTTGCTTTGAGATGACCCCAAAAGGATTTTGCCCAGTAATCCCAGACTAACTCAGCTCCTTATTCGGTGTTTTGTAACTAGCACACAGCCCTGGGGGGCCGGCAGACTGGCTGGCTGGCATGCAAAAAACATTCAGGGTTACATACACAGCTCACAGGCCTGGGGGGCCATACCTTGGTAGGCTGGCATGTGAAAACTGTGCTTTGGATCAGGCAGGAGCCTGCCCACACTTGTTCAGAAGAGATCCCCCATGACAGAAAAGTGTGTTTTTGGGTGACCTGAAACAGGTTTTGTCCCATAATCCTAGCTGAGATGCAGCTCCTTATTCAGGGCAGCATACACAGCACACAGATCTGAGGGCTGTCCGTTACGATACTGGAACACAAAAACTGAACTTCAGGTCAGGCAGCACCCTGCCCAGGCTTCTTTGGAAGAGTCTCCCAGTGGCAGAGACCTGTGGTTTGGGATGACCCAAAAAAGGACTGTCACCCATAATCACAGCCCAAATTCAGCGCTATGTAAATACACACAGGCCTGGGGGGCCATTGGTTGGTAAGCCACCATGCAAAAATTGAGCTTCGTGTCAGGATGGGACTTGCCCAGACTTCTTCAGAAGAGTCCCCCAGGCATAGAGACATATGGTTTGTGGTGACCCAAACTGGGTTTTGTCCCATAATCCCAGCCCAAACTCAGCTCTTTCTTTGAGGCAATGTACAATGCACACAGCTCCGGGAGGCTGCCAGTTGGGAGTCTGGCATATAAAAACCAAGCTTCAGGTCGGGTAGCGTCCTGCTCAGACTTATTCAGAAGCATTCTCCAGCCATGGAGATGTGTGGTTTCAGGTGACCCAAAAAGTATTTTGCCCCGTAATCCCAGCCTAATCTCAACTCACCATATAAAGTACATGGCCCTGAATATGATTTTACACTTTATTCTTAAATATATATTTTTTAGGAAATTCTATGTCTTTAACATGCCTAATTCATTACTATCAACCTTTAATTGCGTAACAATTAGCTTTGAAAAAGGAACCAGGAACCAAGATTAAGGAACTGAGAATAAAGAATCACCTTCAGCCTCGTTTGTGATAGGAAGTGGGTTCAGTCATAAATACTATACTTTTTCTCGCATACAACATGCACATTTTCCCCAAAAAACAGTCACTGGTAATACCAGTGCACATTATATGCAAGAAATATGGTAAGAACAGGTTCTGCTGCTTATTGGGAAAAGCAAAAGTAATCTGCAGTGATCCACAGGGAGCAGAACAATGATCAGGCTTGGTTCCCTAGCTGCTGCTATTCAGTTACTTACTACAAAGAAAGATTTTTTTTCTCTTCATTCTGCCTTTCAAAAGCAAGGTGTGTATTTTATTCTGTGTCGTATACAAGAAAATAAGGTATTTCCTGAAATAACATTTATTCAAACAATTTGCATTAAACGGATGTAGAATTTTAAACTTCATTCTCAATAATCTTAGAGTGGCCCAGATAGTTTTGCAAGCATTACATAAAATAGTCCACAAGCAAGTCTGAGTATTTCCACACCCCTTTTCCTCAGGAAACCAGTAGGAGATTTCTCCTAGCTTTCAGCACCAGGTACCTTAAATCTGTCAGAATATTTTTATTTTTTTTTTAAAAGGATTTCTCCAGAATTTCTTTTATTTTAAAGACTATTGCAGAACATTGTTCTGATCACAGTGACCTCATGATACTGAAGAAAACAAAATCTGTCCATATCACATTTTTCCAGATGAACCACTCATATTTTATTTGTTGTACATGGGCTTCTGCCAGAGTCAAGAAGTAAAGGGCATTCACACCAGAAGTGTAGACACTTTATAGTGATTTGCACACCATATGCCCTTCCCACCATCCTTGTTTTCCACTTGGTTCTCTCTTGTCAGCCTCAAGGATTGCCCCCGTTTTCCCTCTTATCAGCAATCTACTCCCAGCTGCTCCAAGCTAGTTGCATGGTAATGGAAAGGCAGGACTGACTTCAGATGAACAGGGGGAACAACCTCACCATTAATAGGAAGAGAGGAGCAGACAACTGAGCAGGAAAAAGCACTGGAGCAGCGAAAGCACCTACTACAGTGGTCCCATAATGCCCATGAAAAAGGAGGCATGGGAATAAGAAGGCCTGCACTAACTAGACCACAGGCAAGATCAGCACACAGGTTTCATTACCTTGTGTTTCAATTATCCTTGAAGCTTACATTTGAAGCCAGTGAAAGAAAACATTGATATTCCAATTTTAAAGAGCTTACCTTCCCCTGGTAAATCATCCCTTCCCAATATGAAGAGATTATAGCCACACTGCCTCTCTAAAACTTCTGGCAGCATCTTCAGTGCAAAAATATCTGGTGAGTAGATGCAGCTTACTTGATTTTTTGGATAAAGAACATATGCATCATAGAGCTTCCCATCTGAAACTGAAGAGTAAGAATATGATTACGATCAACAAGATGTTTTAGGAAAATGATAGTTTCCCTGCCCTTTATACTGCTTTGGTTCCTAATCCTGGAATTAAAAAAACAGCGGTGTAAATAAAAATAGAAATAACTATAGACTTCAGTTTCCAAACTTGACTAAGACAAGAAAAAGCTGTAAAGCTGACTACCTTCAAACATTCTTTTTTAATCTGCTAAATAAATGCAATATCACCAAGTATTTGGAATTTAATTGTTACAATACCTCAAATTAATTTACATTCAAAAGTTGTCTGTAACTAGATGTTTACTCTTTATGACCAAATCTAAAAGAGAAACATTAACCCACCCCCCGGTCAAAAAACACTCCATCACTGCCCACAAAAAAAATCCCCAATATTTTAAGATCTGGAAAATAAATTATTTTAAGCAAATGTTACAATAGGCTAAATTTAATAAATTTTACATAATTCCAGTAACAACCCCAATGCATTTAAATAAATGCATTTTACTTCTATGACAGTAAACTTCCTTTTAGGCACTCATAATTGGTCAAGACACCATCAGCCTGTTCTCTCATACGTTGCTCTCCCATTAATGTTAATGGAAATCCAGGCACGTACAGACAGTAAAACATCACAAAAACTATGGATGCGAGAGAACAGGCTTCAGGCAGACATTTTCATTTGTCCTTTCCTACTTTCATAAAAATACATTTTCATATGATCTGTTATTGCTCTTATAAGATTAGTAATTAAAAACATGGTAAACCATTGCTGTGCAGCTTTGAGTACATACTGTATGAAAGAAGCATACTTTAGCAACTTCTACGGCAATGAGCAATACGCCGATTAGGATGAAGTCTAGACTTCCGAAAGAACAGCCTGGATGATACTACCAAAACACACAAGCCAGTGACTACTTCTCTACCTAATGGATGTAGACTGCTTTCTAAATGATTTAAAAGTCTGAGAAGCAAAGTTTGTTTTGGTGATATCTTTTATTGAATCAAGTATGTAGTTGGGAGAGATGGTAGACAAGTGTTGAGTAGAACTCAGAGGTAGGAGTGGACCAGGGAAGTTATACGGATTGCACCATAGCCCACCTGTCTGAGGAATGATATAAGCAAAGCTTTATTTACATGTGAGTTCTGACTACTCGTATCGAGTAGCTGCAATGAGCCTGTATTTTCCTCTCTGCAACAAGCTTTCAGACACAAGCATCTTTCATATCTGAGGAAGCAGCAGGTGCATCTTAAGCTAAATATTGGTCTGGCACAGTTACAATAACACCCCTGCCTTAGAAGTCTGAAATATTTACATTAATTTTCTAACAATCAAAATATGCTATTCACTTTAGATAATCCCAAATAGGATTATTGACATTCCACTAAGGTCATTTGCATTTATTGTACATTATACACAGAGTTTGTTCTGCTAAAACCATGGCCTACAGTCTCAACAAATAACTATATGGATACACAGACCAACCTTTTTTAAACAGGAAAATATGACAGGATTTCCGGTACCAGAGCACAATGTCAATTTTGAAAAGCTTGTAAATAAGCACAGCTAAAACTATTACAAATACCAATGAAACTCCTCCTCCAATCAGGTATCCATGAATATTTGGAACTGCAATAGAAAGGGGGACAAAAAAAATATATATTGGACATAAAATATAAATTGCGGCATATGTCAAACATAAAACATCTCGTCAATTCTAGCAATCTTTCTTCAAACTGCCTACCTGCACAAGGATTCAGAATTAATAATCAGCAAACAAAACTGGATTTTCCCTGTATTGTTTCAACAAGGACTATTACAGGCAGATATTCTACTAAAGTTAGAATGCTTGCCATCTAGTCCCAATGGAGGAAGCCTTCCAGTCAAAAAATAACTCACAAATAAATCCTATTTTCCAAATCAACACAAAATTCTAGTATTTCTTTATATACAACAGCTAAACCTACATTCTCATACAAGCTTCTGTTGTTAAGAAGTAGCACAATTGTGGAAAAACAATAAAATAAAGAAGAACATATGAATGTGTTCTATTGGTTCTCCATTAGGCTGAACACTCTCTAGGGAAGTGACTATCATTTACTAACCAACTACAGAGTTTCTAGGACAACACGTGCTCAATATGGTAGAGGATTCTAGCACACTATAGTATAAGCAACAATGAGCAAAAAAATCCTCCTAACTTCAGTCAGACCTCTGGAAACACAGGACCTATGAAAACAAGCCATATTTACATGACTAAATATGGTTTTAGGAGTATAATTTTAGGCACCCAATTTTGAACAGAGTTTTAGATAATAAGAGGAGGAAATTAGGACCAGCTACAAATAGTGATTTTGTAGCATTAACTACAAAATTCGAAAGAAAACTTAAATAAATTCTAGAAAAAATTTTACGATGTTTCTATAGCATGGATTACTACAATCAAATCTCTGAGAGAGGGGTCAAGTAGAGCACACAGTCAGAAAACATCCCAAAGAGATGCAGTGTCCCTGTAGGCTAAATTCTCCTGAAATTTATGTTGTCTCTACTGTGGGATATGTTTAGTCTCCTACACACAGAGTGCTTGGGAAGGTGTTTTTGTCTGATGAAGTGTCTTTAAACATGAGAAGTTTCTCATGATGATATAATCAGAAAAGACGGAGAGGGAAGAGACCCCAAGAGCTGATCTAGACCAAGCTTCTGGTCCAAGCAGGATCATCTCTGCCCAAACGATCCCAAATGAATGTTTTATCTAACCTGCAAGTATCTGCATTTGATGTGTACTTTGGGATCCTTCAATTTCTGTGTAACAGAATTTAGGGTGAGCTTTGTTACTCAGAGGGGCATGGGCAACAGCAAAGCAGTGGGCAAGTGGCTGTAACCCCAATCAGGTATAATTACCTATTTGGGAACAGGGCCCAGCTGTTTCCTATGAGAGCATGGCCCTGAGCAGTGAAGCCAGCAGCCTGCTGCTGGCAGCCAGGATACCACCAGGTAGAACTGCTGCTCACAACACTGTGGATGAGGGGGATTATGAGCCTAGGGTAAGGCAGGGGATGGGGCCTGGAGCCCAGAGTGGGAGCTTGGAGCCCGGGATAAGGCTGGGTGTAAGGCCATGGATGCCATCTGCGAGGCATGGGTAGGGGAGAGGTTGGAGCCGTGTCCAGGGGCCCTTGGCATCAGGGCAAGTAAATGGGCAGCCTCTCACCTGACTGACATCTCAATCATTATCATCAAGGTATGGCAGGTGAAGAAGGTGGGTGACAAGTGGGCAGGCCAATGATTAGATCGGCCCAGGGACACCCACTTGTTACATTCTGGCATCATTTAAACTTCTCGTTGTCATGACACCTATTTCCACAAGTTTTTAAATGAAAAAAACAGTACAGAGAAACTGTAGCACTCCACGTCTTTAAAGTATGACCATATTTATCCAAATCCAAGATGGTTTCAAATTTAAGATGATCCCCCACCCCCTCAAATAATTAGATTCTATACATGGAAAATTATAAATTTGTTCCGATTTTCCATACATAAAATCTAATTGTTGTGGGTCATCTTAAAGTCTGTCCCCTGCACTGCTGTTGCAGGGATAGCAACAGATCCCTGCCCCTTTGCCTATGCCCCCTACCCCCATGCTGCTTGACCTTTCAGTGTCTCTCCCCAGCTCTTGCCCCTGTCCACCCACCATGTGACCCCCTGCCACCTGCATCCCCATGTTTGTGCCTGACTCACCTGCCCCTTGTCCCATCTGCCACCTGCTCCCTAGCCTCTGCACCAGTTCCTGTTCCCCCCCTGCCACCTGTCCCTGGTAGTGGAGTGGTGGCTTGGCACCATGGCTGCTGGAGCCACTGTGCTGAAGTGGCTTTTGAACCCAGAGGAAGAACACTGCCACCACTTCCTCCCCCACTCCCCTGCTTCCCAACCATTTCCCATGTTGTCTATTGGAGTTGCTAGCAATTTGAGTTGAGTGTCCAAAGATTCCATATTTGGCAGCTGGCAAGGAGATGGAGGTGAAAGCAACAGTGGCATTCACCCCTGGGATCCTAAACTGTGACAACACAGAATCATTGGCTGCAACAATGACAAGCCCCGCTGGCCAAAATTTAACCCCTCATGGACCATCACTTAAACAGCCTTTAACAAAAATAAGACTGGGAAAGTCAAATGTGACCAGGGAAATTAAATCTCTAGAGAGAAAAAGGCAGCGAGCGTTCTAACCCATAAGTGGTAAGTTTAACAGATTTCATAGACATTAGGGGCTGGAAGGGACCTTGTGAGACCGAGTCCATCCCCTACACCATAGGCAGGACGTCTGCAGGGAGCAAATAATCCCAGCAAGATAAACATCCAAACTCATCCTTTTGAATGAGTCCAGAGTAGGTGCTTGTACCACCTCTGTGGGGAGTCTGTTCCAGACGTTGGACACTCGGACTCCAAAGAAGAAGTTATTCCTTATATTGAGTCTGAATGGGCCTTCTAGAAGTTTGTGGCCATTACACCTAGTTATCCCTCGGGGGGCCCTGGTGAACAAGTGTTCTCCCAGATCCTGATGCACCCCCCTTATATACTTATAGGCAGCCACCAAGTCCCCCTAAGCCTTCTCTTCACCTAGCTGAAGAGTCCCATGTCCCTCAGCCTCTCCTCGTAAGGCTTGCTCTCTTGGCCTTTGATCATATGGGTGGCTCTCCTCTGAACTCTCTCTCTCCAGAAGCCATGTCTAGAAAAGGCTAAATTATATGTTTAAGATATTGACAGAAAAAAAGTGTTTCATTAAAAAATCATTCTTTTATAAACTATTAAGTTCAGAATTTAATAAATTTAAATAAAATTATTTAAATCTGGCAACAACAAGGATTTATAAAGCATTAGCTAACACACATATATAATTACAACATATCAGTCCTATTTAATCAAAAGTTATTTTTGCAGGTGAATTCAGCTAGTGTCAACCATTTTCCTGAATTGTTCCCTTTAAGTTAATTTATCAGGTAAGAACAGTAATGATTGAAATAATGCTCAGCTTTACCTGGGTGTTCTAGTTTGATGTATACTGTAGCATGTCCATGGGGATAAAAAACGTGACAGAAAAATTTATACAAGTAATCTTTACTGGTCACTTTTGAGATGTTGAATTTTGCTCCAGCTATAAGTAGTCCATGGGAAGACTGTTTCCTACCATCATAAGAAATAAAATAGCAATAAGTAAATTAAGCATTAAGATTTCAGTGTGTACTAGAGAGATCTGTCTGCAAATATAATAAAATTAATTTTTCACCTCAAAAAAATGTATTAAGTAAATTCAGATTGCTTGCAAGCAAACATTAGCTCCCTGATATTGGGATTCAAGACTGCAGTTTATTGGGAATTTCCCATTCATTTTTTTAACAATTTTTTAGAAAATTTGGAGGTTACAGGAGGGGGGAAATGCTAATTAATTCAAACAAAAATACATACATTCTTCAGAAAATGTTTCTCAGGTCTAGGATAGGAGTTCCAGAAGATGCAGATGAAAAAGAAACTCTCAAATGCACCTTCCCTCAAACAGCCCATAGACCAACTATCAGGGTACTCATCTGAAACATGGGAAACTTAGGTTCCCACGTCCAAAGCTTACATGAAGCCAACTGCAGACTTCTGTCTATACTGCAGACTGTAGCCACCTAAGGCATTTTTACACAATCAAGTGTCGCAGGGCCGGGTGCTGTAACACTTGTAGTTGTATAAGTGGTGAAATGCGTGTCAGTGCTAAGAAAATGGCAGCGGTGCACTTTTGAACTAAAAACACATAGAAGGTGGTTTAGTTCAAAAGTGCACCGCCGCCATTTTCTGCGCGCTGACATGCATTTTGCTGCTTATACAACAACTGCACGCGGCACAGCACAGTTCACATCAGCTCACGTTCGGAGCAGACTTGATTAATCAGATCCCAATATCAGAGATTAATCAAGTCTGCTCCAAAGCAGCAGATCTCCGGTACATCACGGAACAAAAAAGTATGCGTATAAATGCCCCTAGCCATGGAGGCAAAGAACTCAGTATCTGCCAATTTACTCTGCCACGTTTTTGGCCAAGGCACAAAATAATGGATGTATTGGTGTCTTAGTTTTTACCCTGAATAAAATGTAAGACAACAAGGCTTAGAGGCAATTGACCAAAATGCATGAGACTATAGTGCAACAGAAAGCTTCTTGTCCTGAAGGAGCTTGCAGAAAAAGTAAAATTAAACTTATAAACAGTTTTCCTAAGATGAAGGTCAACCTTTACTTGAACTTCCCAAAATAATGCAAGAAAATACTCTATGAGGGTTTTCAACCTTTTTTGATCAGGGTACCCCCGGCAGCCAGTCAAGAAGCAGGGAGTCCCTTGGTATCTGGTTGACCAGATGGGGGAGCGGTCCCCCAGCAGCCAGTTGATGAGTTGCCAGGCAGCAGTGAAACCGGAAATGCTGCCAGCGGAACTGGAATGCCTCTTGCTTCTTTGTATGGCTGCCTTCCAAAGTACCCCCAGGGGTACATGTACCCCTGGTTGAAAACCCCTGCTCTATGAAACATTTTTGACAAGATCAGCTGATTTAACTGCTTTAATCTTAAAAGACTGTAACCATTTATTGCTGGCTGGAAATGTACTGAACTGGTTTAGAAAATAGCATTGATTTATACTGCAGAGAAAACTTTCAACTCTCTACTCTTTATTGGAAACTAGGTGAGTGTCAAGAATGTTTCATCTTACTTTTTATGTCCTACAATTTGGATAGCTGCAGAGACAACAAAGATTACTAGGTGGATTCACAGAAAATAATTTAATGCATCTTAGTCAGCAATCCATGTGCAATTTAATGTGCAAAAATACTTACTCATAGAACTCTTCCTTGTATGTGTTATCAAAACTATCAACATCACTGTTATTGACTTGCCAGTAAGGAGTCAAGCCATCTATGCCACTTGATACATTACAATCTATGACCACGTGAGATCCTAAATAAAACATTTAAATATAATAATTAAAAATCTTATATTACATAAGAGGAATGACAGAAGTATGTAAGCAGTTTGGGATACCAAAAAAGTTACCTAACAACAGACTAATTTTTCCAGACATACTCCATACTTAACGTACAAACATTGCATATGCTTAACCCTCAATCTTTGGGGCAGCAATATTCATTGGGACGCACAAGCACAAGGGGAGCCTGCTCCGATGTGCTGGAAATCCAGCACGTTGGAGCAGACACGATTGAGTCTGCTGGACCACAAAGCCTCACACATCACGTGCATCAGTGGCACAGCACACTTCCACGTTGAGAAAATGATGCCTTGAACTAAAACACGTTTGATGTGCTTCAGTTCAAAAATTGCACGGCTGCCATTTTCTCAGCACAGAGGTACATTACGCTGCTGATACAGGTGCTTCTGACACAGTGCCAGGAGCTTTTAATTAGCACGGCTTCCTAATTAAAAGCACCCAGCACCACATCAGGAGCACGTGTAAAAATGCCCAAAAGGCCTAAACATTACTCAATTTCTAAGCCACCATAGAATCTTATGAGATCCCACAGTAGCAGGGAAGAAGGGCAGGTTTTGGCTTATATATGGATAACATAACTTGAATCACTCTAGATATTGTAAGACATGTTACTTTTTCATCCTTCAAGGGCTTGCTTTTTGTATGCCACCCTTGGTGATCCACAAGCAGTAATCTGATAAAAGAAGCTGGAGCTGAGGGTTCAATTAAATACAGACAATAGTGGAATTCTGCCAAAGCAGTACCAGGTTTAAATACTTCTACTAAGGAATAACATTTAGTAAAAGTATGGCTTGAACTCCAAGTAGCTGCTTGGCAGATGTCTGAAAAGGGTAGTCAAAGAATCTGCCTGAGCCTTTGTGGAAGTGAACCCTTCGCTAAACTGGGGAATTTAATATAGCACAGTACCCACCTGGACAGCCTCTGGGTTGATATTGCCCAATCCTTCATTCTCATCCCAAATGCTATTAGTGTCTATGGGAAATCTTGAAGCATTTGTACCTTTGTAAATAGAAGGGGGCCTGTTGCACATCTCATGTCTGCTTAGCTTTACCTTGTTTACTACGTAGTTTGGGAAAATATATTGCTAAATAACTTCATTTGGCTTAAATGTCCATAATTACTTTGGTTAGCACTTTGTGCTTGAAAAATTACTTCATCCCCTAAGGAATGCAGTACAGGGAAGTGTTTACACATTATTTCCCCTCAGTTCTAGCTGATGAAAGTGCTACCAAAAAGTAAGTTTTTATACGTAAGTGCAATAGGGGATAGGCTGTTGGGGCTTCAAAAATGGGTGAGACATGACACAAGCCCAATCAGATCCTCTAATGCAGATACATGAACTAGTGAAGATGTATAAATCAAGTCATTAAGGAACCTGAGTATAGCAGGGTGGGAAAAACTGTAGCTTCCAGTGAGAGGAAGATATGTAGAAATAGTTGCTAATGTGGTCCCCAACAGTGTCCCTATTCTCTGTAGAGCTCAACGGCCCAAGATATTAGTGGAGATCTTGAAGCCAACACTGTTCACACCAAATCTTGAATCTCTTCCCACTTAGCAACAAAGGGCATTTATACACATACTTTTTTGTCCCGCAATGGACCAGAGAGCCTTTGCTTTGGAGCAGATTTGATTAATCAAGCCTGTTCCACATGCGAGCTGACGTGAACTGCGCTGTGCTGCGTGCAGTTGTATAAACAGCAAAATGTGTGTCAGCATGCAGAAAATGGAGGTAGTGCGCTTTTGAACTAAAGCACCTTCTACGTGTTTTAGTTCAAAAGCGCACCACCACCATTTTCTGTGCTGACACCAGTGCCGGATTATGACATGCTGAGGCATGCTAAAATATGTCCAGTTTAAGAGGCCCCATACGATGAAAATAATCCACAAAAAATGATTTTCATGAAATTGTAAGATGAATTATTGTTATTTCTGCACAAATTTATGAACTCAATATGAATAACAACTGTGGAACCATATATGTTCTAGCGAACTGCCCATCAATAATGACCGGGGTGG